CTACACATTTTTAAGGATGGACAGGATTGTTTAGATCTCAGTAAGACTGAAGAGATAGTCGAGGTGTCAGCTGAGCGTGGTGAGCTGAGGAGTGATGTTTTAGCCATTTGTTAGGAGCTCCAGAGTATTACGGCTAGGTTAGGTAAGGTTAGGCACGGCAGGCATGAGGAGGGTAGGCCAGATGTAGGTCAGGATGGTGGAGGAGGGGCCATCCACTCGCAAGGATAAAGGGTGGCAGGTAGTACGAAAAGAACTGACAACTACACGTGGAAATGTAAAAAAATGCCATTGTGCCTACTAGGAATAATTTTCAGGCACTGCAGCATGATCCCAGAGGTGGGGTAAGACCGAGAAACAGTGGTGGCGAGGCAGCGGTTGTGATAGTGGGGGACTCTAGAGAGAAACATCTAAATAGGATCTTCTGTAAGGGCAGGAAAGGAAATATATTTGTAACGAAGCCTGGAGTCAAGGCCAAGGATCTGGTGTCAGCGATAGCGCAGGTCACCAGCAAAAAAACAAAACAAAACAGGCCAGTGCAGTCATTGTGCGGGTCGGATTAACAATATAGAGCAGGAGAAGAGTGAGGAGGTGGTGAAGGATGCTACGACCCCTTTGGTCACTCTACAGCATAGCAAAGGAAGTGAGATTGTAGCAGGCATTCTGTCTGAGGTCAGAGCACCTCTTGAGTGGAGTTCCAGGGTGCTGACGGCCAACTCTGGAGTAGATAAACTCTTTGTCAAGCTTGGCCTCACATTTGTAGACAGGTGGGACAGATTTGTTCAATTACAAAGACATGCATCAGAGGAATGGGCTCCAGGACTCGATTTCTCTGAAAAAGATGTGCACTTCCTGATGAGGAGGTACGAACTGCTCTTCAGGGAAAATAGTTTCTGGGGATTGGAGGGTGAACGTAGAACACATTGATAATGCTAATTCAGAATTGTTGAACAGTGAGTCAAAAAAGATGTGGCAAAACTCAGGTGCTTCTATGCAAATGCAAGAAGTATCGGAAACAAGTTTGGAGAGCTCCATGCTCACATGCTGGAAGGAAAAATTGGACATGGCGGCTGTCATCAAAACCTCGATGAGTGAACGCCTTTTGGGGGACAGTTTACAGAAAATTTCAGGCATCTGGTTGCAGTATGTTTACTTTCCAAAGAAAAGCGAAGAAAAGGTGGAACACTTAGAATATGAAAGACAGAATACAAAACGTGAAATTGCAGGGCAACATGAAAAAGCGACGCTGTAAGATCCCTCAGGATTAATTTCATTATGCCGAAAGGCAATGTATTGCGTTTGGGAACTTTCCACATGGCTCCGAATAGTTGTCAGGGTGTGGGCACAAATATGTGTGAAGAATCAGCCGTGGAAAATGTGTGGTTCTGGTAGGTTTTAGCGTCTCAGGCTGGAGCGCAGATTTTGGCCAATTGTAAGTCACAAAAATGTTTTTGCTTTCTTTATAGAAAAAAAATCCTTAACAGCTGGTGCGCAAACCCATTAGGGGAAGATAATATTTTGGATCTCATCATGAGTGATGAGAAGGGGTTGGCGGATACTTAGACAGGAGGTGAGACACTGGGAAACAGTGACTATAATATTTTAAGGTTTTCAATGTGTCCAGGTTATTTAGGTAAGACTTGTCATGTTCTTCTCCTATGCTTAACTAGGAACAAAATTGAAAAACTACAGCCTTTTTCGCTAGCTCCGAATGAAAACATATTTTAACTAGACTCATTGCAAATCAGACTTGAGAAGAGCTCAAGGATATTTTGGAAGAAGGGCAGGAAAGGCTCATACTCTTTAGGGAAATTCGGGAAGATAGCTCAAAGAGGTCCCCGTGACTAACACAGACAATGTGCAATTTGATGGCGGTGAAAAAGTCGGTATGTGGTAGCCAATGAGTGCAAGACACAGGAAGCAGCAAGGCAGTGCATAGGGCTGCTACAAAAAAGCTAAGGAAGGAAATCAGGGTAGTCAAGATATTATCGAAAAAACGGACAGCAGACTCTTGCTCTGGCGATGCTAATATGTTTTTTAGCTACCTCAAATTCAAATCTAAGGGATCATCTGTCAGCCTCCTCGAGGAAGATAGAATGTCATTAGTCGAAGACAGGGATACTGTAGATGCCCTCAGTAGGCAGATGTCTTCAGTGTTTACAAAGGAAACTGTGTGTTATCTCCCTGGTAATAGGCAATTACAAGAGAATACAAATCGATAGCCCTGTTTCAGGGAGGCTTATGGCGGCATTCGCAGCGCATCGGAAGCCAGTTTCTGTCACTCCTTGATGCGAAACTTGCGTTTGCATGCTCGCCTTTTTAGTTATTATCTGGCGATCATCACATTTTACGATGATAATATAAGAACGTTTGATGTAAGCATGCTTTGGCGTCAAAACATTGAACGTTTTTTCTTTGCATAGTTGTGCTCAAACTCTTTTCAAATCCGGTGTAAGGCTCTGGCTGTCATGCAAACACAAAACAGATCGGTGTAAAACTTACACCATTCGTCTTAAGACAACAACGGACACTGCCTTGTCAGCCTCGCCTTTCATGAAACGGAATCTACTTGCAAGCCATGGATTTGAGGACATGAACATTCCAGTTGAGCCCATAAGTAATCCCTCACACCACGAGAGCTACACTCCCGTTGATTTGGCGTAAAATACATCTGAACGCTGAGCCGAATGTCGGGAACGCTGAGGTCGAGACGCAGCGTCAAATAGGGCTCACACATAACCATACACATTTGCAATGATCTAAAAATGGCTAACCGTAGCATAGAGGTGACATCGATATAAGAAGGCTCGTGCCAGTATAGCCGATGTTGTGAAGGCATTCATAGGCGGGGTCTTCTTGGTATTATCCGTCTGCTTCTTATGAGGCATTGTCTTAGTTATCACGTTGCCCATGCCAAATCAACCTCACTCACCCAATGTGTATTCTTTGGCAATTTCCCAAGCGTTTAGGTCCGAATGGCAGCAGGAAGCACGAGGGCTTCACATCTCGCAGCGTTCTTGCATTGACAGTTCATAATCTATGTGAATTGGGTAACTATGGCAAAAGAAGTTAAAAATTTTGTGGGATGATTCACTTATCACTCGTCCTAACAGGAACTTTCAGGAACCAGTTCAATCCAGTCCATGAGATCCGAATCTATTCTGCACGCGATTATTATAACATTAGGCCCGATCTAACTCTTTATAGCAAACCTTTTTCAAAGTATAGTTCCCACCCACAGATCGCATTTCAGCTCAAGTACACGTAAATATCAAATGTATCATATCTGTAAAAGGTTGGTATTTCCTGACTTGATATTCAAGCTTTAAATCCGTTCCAGCTCAGTTTTAGTTAAGCTTCAGTCAGCTAGGCTTCAAATACAGTCCCCTCTTGATGGAGGTGTTTTGCAACCCAGCCGATCTGGTCCGGTCCATTCATGGGCTAAGCCAAATGCATGCATTGATTTAACCAATGAAGAGCTACGGTGCCATCATCCACCATGTTCTACCCCTCTGTACCCAACTAGACCATCACCCACCATGTGAGGGTGGTCATGAGTTTCCCAATCCAGCAAAGGTCGCCTCTGGGGAACAGCAGTATTGCGGCATACTGGGGAGACTTGTACGCTGCATGTGCAACTGCACAGTCAGACCAGCGTCGCAACACTGCTGAACTCGAACTTTGTTCACGATGTGAGCCCGTTAAGCCTGCTGCATTCACGACACAGGCCTCTGTTTGGTAAACAGACCAGACGGTCGGCGTCTGCCATCTTTGCCATTTGCAAATGTCGATATTTGTCTTCAGGATGCATGCCCCCCTCCCCCCCCCCGAAGTGACCGGTAGCTTTTTGGAGTTCTGCGTAGCTTAGCCCAAGCCGGTGAAGGGGCAACGTCTTTCCGGAGTCATGGAAATGGCAAATGACATTGCCGTGGCATTCGGAATGGCTAACGATCGTTCATTGCACATGATGCGCAAGAAATGAGCCCAGATACTCCCGCCGTCCAGAACTGGTTTTTAGGGTTTTTATCGCACGGTTTGCAGACCGATATGTTTGCTTAACGGCATTTTGCTTATTTACGTCAAATGATGATCCACGAGGCATGTAAACAGTGTTGTATTGTGGTTTCATAGGAACAGGTCGATACAGAAAGACTAATGAACTTTCAAGAGGGAAGGAGACCGGCGACCAACGTTGACCTTGATTGACCTGGGGCCCGCCCAGCACCTCTACTGTACCCATATCGAAAGCGATTTAGAACACGAAGTTGTACCCGCGCCATTTTAGCTCGGGACAACTCCAATTGTTATTTCGTTCGTGACGTAACATTGTGAGTTCTCTAAGGTGGGATCTTATTGATGGAAGATGAATGGGTCAAACCGGTCATCGTCACCTTTGGTTCTTCACGCGCGCCTTACAGTTCCTCAGTGCTATTGTCCTAAGTTCCTCGTTGATCTCGCACATTTTGGGGCACATCCTAGGAGACGTGATACCACCACACCCGTAGCTGTCTGTCGGAGAGTGAAAACATCCCCTGCCCAGCCATGCTTTATGACGGGGGGAAAGGGGGCGGGGGATTTTCTTGCCTCCCAACAAAATATTAGTGTTTAATTGAATAGGTAATGCACTTACAGAGAGTTCATTTCAACAGAGAATCAACTGCATATGCATGTTATGTCATGGTAGTTTCAGCGTCCAGTGAAGCGTGCAATTGACGGTGGCTACTCCTTCGCAACGTCGTGACAAGCGCGAAAGACGCTGTGATACACTGCATGCTCATGTGTCATCGTGTAGCAATGGATGTAGTATCATTAAGTGCCCTGACACAATGATCTCAAATTGATCCAATTATAACTGCACAGCGGTTCAACAACGATAATGCGACAACACAATTACAGCATGGTGATACAACCACAACAAAGCGATAGAGCTGGTAACATGGCGATACAACCGGCATGCATTCCAATCAATGCCCTTGTCGTCGCCGGCGGCCATCTGTACTCACCTGCGGCGAGCGCAGTGCATAGAGACGCGACCAGTGTCGCCACCGTCCGCAGCCTCATTTCGGGCGTGACAGTGGCGGCGACAGGCGATTTGGACTTCAATCGGCGCCACTCAGCGCTCGCCCCGCCGGCCGCCGCACCGCCGCTGCCGCACAGACGAATTCAATAAATGATTTATATCGGCTCTTTCAGATAAATCCCGCAGATAATTGGTGGCTCGGCGTTCCGAGGAATTTCGAATCCGTAACGGCGCGGAGCCGTGAATTTGTGTCGCGACCGAGAAAAGGTCGGGGAATGGGTCGCGATATGAGGACGCATGTGATCCGGGACTGGCGCGACAGCTGGACGAGATTGTCCCGACAGCGCTGGCCTTTGGGAGACTGGTCTATTCCCAATGCGACCGCTAGGAAAGGTAGCACTGGTTCATTTGATTACACGTTAGATGGCGAACAACCTCATCAGCGTGCGCTTCAAAGAATACAGTGGTAGAGTGATGTACATTACGTTACCAAGCGACGTTTTTTGCACACCGATCATTGGCAAAATCAGCTTTTCTACTTCCATTTTTCTGCTTCTCTTTTGTGTTTGTAAATGGCAGCTAATAAAAGCAACTAGCTGCTGAATTACTCGAATTTCGTGCATTACCACCCAGGGCAATGAACATTACGCCTGCAGTCGACTTTATTTGCACAACTAACGTTGGCAACAACTAGCTTTTCTACTGCAACGCTTCTGCTCCTCTTTTGTGTTCCGTAAATGTGCACTAGAATAAACAACTGACCGCTGAATTGCGTCGGCAAAATTTAAAAATGGCCTAAATATTGCCTGAAAACGGTCATTCGTAGATAGTCACGGCTCCAAGCCAGCAATCCGAGGCCGACACGCACACCTCTGATATTCAGACCAACAGCGTTTCGAGCTGTTCCAGGTGTCACGAACGCTAGTATCCTAACTGCTTAGAAGCATGACTTGGCTTGCGCTCATCTCCACTCAAACATCTGCCCATCGAAAGTTCCAACTGGGCGCCAGCAAATAACAACTAATGGCAAAACTTGGGCAGTGTACGAGATGACAATTTCGCGAGACAATTGCACAATAACAGAAATCTTAAAGTTGGCGAGCATGACAAATGATAGCACACAGCACCCTGCAAAGCTTGGAGAATCGTGAGACTGCCGGAGGTTCTTCGCAGTTTTTTTCAGCTCGAAATGATTCAGTAATCCTTCAGCCAGGCAGGGAAATAGCAGAGTCGGTTTTTCAAACTGAACGGGTGAATGTCGTGAACAGCATAATTGGGAGCAAGATCAAACACGATTAGTGGGCTCCCCTAGAAATTTGGTTCTGATGAGACCGAGTGATTTTGATTACGCTAATAACTATATTTTCGATTCATAACAATAACAACACAGTATACCGATGCAAGAAGAGCTGGAGGTGTTGCCGGTACCATGTTATCATGCAGGAGTTGAGTGGTGTCCACATTTAGCTGTGCCAAGGATTTAGCACATGATGTGAAGTTCTGTGTCAACCATCTCATGGTTTATAACGATCAATGAGATTACTTTACATTTGTTTGACTCACCAATCAATCAACGAACTAAATACATACGCACTTAAACGTGCATCTGGACATTTTCAAACTGAGCGCCTTGACATCGTCGCCTGTTTTACCTGAGAGCAAGTCAGCAAAGCATGGTCCATCGAGTCCGCTGTCTTCCCCAGAACCCTACGCAGACGTCCTAGCCTTCGCCACGTGCACTCCCGGCGCCCAGGCCCCACGCCCTCCCCGTCGCCGACGGCGCAGCGTTCTACCCCGCGGCGCACAGAGTCCCCACACGCTGCACGCTGCCCGCGACACCCGCCGCCCGCGCCCGCGCCCTGTCGCCGCCGCCGCTGCCGATCGTCGACTGGGCCTCGTCGATGTCGACGGGACCGTGGCGGGCCGCTGGGCGTCGCGCGCGCGAGCGCTGGCGGGGGCGCCGCCGCCGCCTCAGGTGAGGGCGCCACGCGCCGCCGGCGAGGCTGCTGGGCGGCGGGTCCTGCCGGCGGGGCTGAAGGGCGCGGGATGCCTCCACCCCGGACGTGCAGCTGCGCTGGGTGCGTCCGATACCATGCGTATCGTATTGGTTAGATGCCCACATGCATGTCTTAGTTTCGTAAGATAATTATGAATTTGCGCTCCATGTCCCCCTCCTTAAGCACTTTTGATAGCAGATTAATGACCTATCAGAAACGCGATTGATCGCAGCCAGCAGCAAACAGCCGGCAGGTAACACACGTCAGTACTTTGTGCAGAAGCCGGGCTGCGACGTCTCTCATTTTCATCGCTCATTTTGAGGGTGTCGGCGTGCAGGCATCCATTGTCTCCATGCATACGGAAAGCGTCTCTCCCTCAGACGTCCAATCGCTCCAGACGGCCCATCCATTGCGGGTGGGCCGGTCGAGGGCTGGGCCGCGGGGGAGGGGCTGAAATATCGCCGCCGGAGGCGTGGGCGGACGCCAGTGATCCAGTCAGGGACACGTGACGAGACCCTGAGTGGGGCAAACCTCGGGTCACATGACCGAGCGACGGCCAGGTCAGGGCAAGCGCGGCCGTGTTGGGACCACACCGCCGTGTGGTTGTAAGGGGTCAGCTGGTGGCTCTGCTCCGCTTGACGGCAGGTGGCTGGTGGGTCTGGTTCGACACTGAGCGCGGTCAAACGCTTTAAGTGGGTACACCATTTGGCATTACGTCTTGTGCTGGCCAGTGCTTTGGAGGCAAATCCATGCCACGACATTTACAAATCTGCAGCTGAGGTTCGAGGTGTATCCGGTCACAAATCCCGATGACCTATTATATGCGCCTCATGTAGTTTACACAGCATTGTCAACGACCGCTCAGGCTGTAGCACGTGATATTCGGGACCGTTTCCTAAACCGGCGACATTTGTCTCTTTGTGTCTCTGTGGTTCGGGCAGCGTAATTCATGTGATAATTTGCGGATGCTACATGCATCTACACCATGCGCTTATCTCGACCTGTACCTTGACTCTGCTTGCTGAAACCTGGCACCAACTTTCGACGACGCCCCAAATCAGGCGAGCCGTATTGCTGCACAACTTTTACAGAATCGTCCTGCATGTCGCTAAAACGGCAAAGCTGCGCGATCAATAATAACAAAGATATTAATCTTTCAAAGGGGACTTTGGCCGGAAAAACCCAGCCGAATTATTGAAAATGCAGCATTTTTGGCTTGTTGACCTAAAGGCAAAGTCAACCCGTGACCTGTATCACTACAATCAGAGCCGCTGCTCGAACTCACCGAAAGCGCTGGGTATATCCAAAGGCTTATTTTTGTCGTTCTCAAGTAGGCTTAATTCTTTTTTCGTTTCCGAGAGAGGCCTTCATCGGGGCTCACAACACAAACTTACGGCAGTTTTGAGACCAGGGGGCAGGCTAGCTGCATCCTTGCCGCGACTGTCAACTGACAATTCAAATGAAATAGTCAATTTAGGTGCTGCACAACGCATACAAAAACGATTTGCTGGTTCGACGCACGTCAAAGCTCTCTATGAAACACACCACGCAATTCTAAAACTCAGCGTCCAGGGCTGGGTGAAATGCCTTCCTCAAAATATTGCAATCAATTCTTTAAGTTATCTTTGCATGAAGACAAATCGAATTGCAATGTCAATTTTCTCGCGGGACGTAGACCACAATCCCGAAAGCAGTCCTTTTTCAGCGCTAAGACAGCATGAGTACAGTAGACATTTGGCACATATCTGGCCCACCTGATGCATGTCATGTCATGTCATATCCGTATACAATATTTTGAGACCAGTATTGTCATGTAAACTTTTATGACATTATCTTAGTGCCACCTATCCACATGATACACGCAAAAAAGTCAACTTTGCAAATCGCGCCAAGGCTGAGGGACGTTAATCACAACATGAACACAACATAAACTGAATGCAGGAAGGAAACAGTGGGCAGTCGTGTTGGCAAAACTTGCATATATTCCCGCAGCCGATCCTGCGTGCCACGGTGCTCACCATGCACCCACCAGTCTTAGGGCTTCTTGTTATCACGTTCTGAAGTGATACAGTCCTTAGAACAAAATGGGCTTGCGATGACCCAGAGTAAACCCATTTCCAAGTGATGTAATTGAAACTTTGCGCGCAAACAACACAGAACAGTGAGCTTGCCTGCTAGACGCATGAAAAAGGGATGTTCTGATGCTTTGATAAAACCTATGTCCACGGTTCCACAAACGCAACCGGTTCCACTCGCTCATGTTTTGCTATTATCTTCGTGATGATAGCATTTCTGCTTTGACCTCGTCCGTCCCAAACCGAAATGCGTCCCGCTGGAGATGACGAACCGAAGCTAACGCATAGCTCGGCCGGCAGGACCACGCTGGATTTGTACCTTGCTGAAACCTTGCCACCCTTTGTGCATCCCTCAAAAGCAACAAACAGATATGGTAATCTGCGCAGACCAGCGCGGAGTCGCCCGCGAGTCGGTGCGGCAGCCGGTCCCGGCAGGGCCCTGAATTAGGCGGGCACTTGACGAGGTGTCGTCAGGCACATTGGTTTTTATATCTTCTTGACAAACGACACACTGAGAACAATAACGCTTTCCCAACTGAGCTCTACGCCCTAATTAATTTGGTAACTGCTGCAAGCGGCTGAGTGCTGACTGAGTCCATTTATTTTAAGCCCATGAGTAGCTTCTCAAAGTTGGCAAATAAACCCAAGGGCCATTAGAACTTTTCGGCACATCAGACGACGGCAAGGAAACTTCTACCGCAAAAGCACGCAGTTTGCGGACGAAGTACTTTATCTTCCGACTGCACCCGGGGATAAGGCAGAAGACAAAGGCTATGGCAGCCGCAGATCCTGCCTTGCTTTAGCGGCGCATTCGTCTACCAAGAAAGTAGAGAAGTGGCCAGCTTCGGAGTTGGAGTTGAAATGGCGACTTGTAAGGGCCGCCATCGCTACAACGGAAAAATATAAAGCATGCGAGTTAGAACACTTAAATTAATCGCGGCATTTTCCGACTGAACTGCAACGCTGACCTGTCTGAAACGACAAATATCCCATACCGATCCATAGGGTACGTTAATATGCAATGTCCAGCATTACACGAATTTTGAAAGGGGCTTTAGATGATGCGTCTGCTACCTTTGGCCGCCCGTAGATCTAAAACCGGTGCCTGAGCAGCGATCAAATCCCAAACGTGTCCCTGTAACACATCTTACAAGGAGACGGCGAGTCTGCCTCCTGGACGTCAGCTGTGTAAATTAATTTTCCCCCAGTTGGTAGTTCACTTCCAAAACGTGTCCCCATGAGGAGTGGGATCAAATAAGTGTGTGCGCGGTCCGCGTAAGACATGGTCATACGGATAGCTTTCGAGCCAGTCATTCAAATCTCCTGAATCAACAGATCGTAATTATTTATCAGCATATCACGGCATCTCTGCTTTTTAGCAGGAGTTTAATTAAATTGCTATGTTATCTTTTTTCTGTCTATCTGCTGTCAGTCTAATTTATCAATTTATTTACGGACGTCAGGTACGATTCAAAATACTGGTGAATTAATTCGGGATTAGAGTAAGCTTTCGTGTCGACATGTTGACGTGAACTGCAATGCATCTTATCTTCCAAAGAGTTCTCAAAAATGCGACACATTTTTTATGGCATGTGTATACTTAAAGACCAGGCCGTGATAGAAAACCAAAGTAAGCCGCGTAAGTGGCATGTGCCACAGCACAACTTTATCCTCGAAGCGATCAACAGCAATGGGGCATCAGGTACCCAAAGCCAGACATCATCCCTTCGCCGCTGATGCAAAACGCTCGAGCAATGCAGGAACGGATTGGTTTTAATTCTTAAAAAGGACTTGAAGCTACACCTTCATCTTTTCGATATGTTTCGCAAACTCGAAGCCCAAGGCATAGAGAAACGAATGAAGGTGTGTGACCGGTTCTCCTACAGGCGGGGGACAGACTGACCTGCAGACAGACTGTCCCGACGACCTCCGCGTTGCCAACCAGACACTTTTGACTGCGTGGTCATGACGACTCGAAGAATATTGTGTATCTTGAGAGAACCCGAGTCTGATATGGCACCGCAGCGAGATCAGCGGTTAACAAAATTCTATACACTGCAAGGGTGTTGATGTCCGCGTATGGTTTATGGGACCACTCTGGTGCTAGAACTTCGACGGCCGCCCGGCGACAGCGAATACGCAGCAGCCCTGAAGAACTTCCGAACTCGTCCCAGAACAGCGCGCGCGCGTGGGCGTGTCAGTCCGCGGTCTCAACACGCCGAGGCCACACCTCACGGTCCCCAGGAGTCCTTAGGGGGATGGCAGTATGTTTTTGGTGGTGCAGTGATTGGTCGCTGAATCATTGCGGAGTTGAGGGCATATTCACCCGGCCTGTCACATCTCGACTTCTTTATATGAAGATTTCCAAAGGATCACGTCTTTCCTGCAACTGACGCCAAAATCCACTGCCACCTTTTGGGTGGACGCCCTTTATGTCAGATATTATTGATACCCGTTGTGGTCGTTTGCAGGTGTGGGCGGCTGCAATGTGAGCAAGGTATGTGCCTGTGGCTGGAAATCGAATCAAGCAAACTGCTGAGGTAACCCACTTACTTCCATGTTCTTCCACAATTGCCTTGGGAGAAGACAAGATGATAAATGATCTTGTATTGCGCACATGCTGCATTACAAGATGTGCATGAGAGACATATGCGGAAGGACTGCAGCAGCCGCGTGTACAGTCATCGTTTGCTCTCCTGCGGTGGATAGGTCTATGCCTTACGCTATTGGTGCATGTTTTGTTCACACATGTCACATCCATA